GGTTGAATTTGGATTCTAAACTTGATTTGTATGCAATGATGAAATTTTTTAAAAATAAATTTGTGATTTATCTTTCGTATAGAAAATTCTCAAGTTTTACCATGGTCCTTAATAAATGTTATGAACATCCTAGCTCTTGAGATATTTATAACTTGAAATGATCCTCATATATTAATATGAATTATAAACAGTTGAGAGACTTTACAAGGATGGCTTGGATACATGTATGTTATGTATTTGGGTAGTTAGCAAGCTTCACATTAGAATGAATTAGATTTATTTTGGTGAAAAAGGAAGGGAACAATTTCTTAATGCTATATAAAGTTGGGATGATCAAGACATAGATGTTATAATAATTGCACTCTCTTTATGGTAGGATGCATATTGAGAATTTTTTTTTTGTAATTCTTGATTTTCTTTCACATTTAATTGGTAGAGTCCAACATTTTCGTTAGCATTCCCAGCCATCCTCCTTAATGCTGCATTCTATAATTCATATTGAGTAGGGAGAAAATTGTTGAAATAGTTAATATCTTTGGTGATTTCATTAATTTATAAGAAATTGCAGTAAAGTTTGAGAGCTAGTAAGACTAAATTTAGATCAACAGAGTTATAGATGTTGATTTGCTCAATTCCCGTTTCTTGAGACAAAGAACCATCATCAAGCTTTACATTGTAGTAGTTGTTGAGATCGGGATGTATTTTGTTAAACAAAGAGATATTGACAATCATATCAGATGCTTCTGAGTCCCCAATGCAGTATTGAGAATTCCCTAATTTTGAATTGAATGCATTCAAAGTCATAACTTTTTTGTCATTTATCTGGTGCTAATTTTAGCTGTGGTTAGATTTATTTTGAGAAGTGAGTGCCGATACTTCAGGATATTTTGGAGCTACTTGGTTACCCATCATGATATTTTTCCTATTTCTTTCTCTTTAGACTTCATGGAGCATTTGTTATGCGGATGGAAGGATTTTTGTCCCAAATATCCTACATCAGACATCATTAATATTTTTATTTAGTATGAGAAATAATTTTTATATATTGCATTTCTCAACAACTTTATGATATTTTTTGCAACCCTTAGACACTCCCAGTCCAGTTCTTCAAAATCATCAAATTGTTGCCAATATTATATTGGGTAATGGAGATATTACTTTGTTGAAAATCATGCAGGGCATCTTTGATTTCAAGTAACTTTGTATCATTTTCATTATAAGAGTACATTTCTTTTGTGTCATCCCAAATTTCTTCAACGACCCTATAAAATATGAATTTAAATTTTTTTAGCAATCCTATAAAATATGAATTTTGGCAAATTTCTTTTTTCTTGATGTTATCGTTGTCGTTGCCAGGTCTCAAGCTCTGAATGAAAAAAGTGAAAGTCGCATTAGGTAGTCGACGGGCAGCGTAAAACTTGTCGAATAATCATGACATAAATCCTTTATATTTTGTTAATGTTAAGGCGTTCCCTGGAAGTGACGCATTGTATGGCCTGAATACAACTAAAAGTATGCAAGGCCGTAGCATGAGTGTCTTGGTGTAATGTTAAATAATCAAGGGTTCTCACATCATGGACGGATATGGGCAAAGAAGCTAGTCCATGAAAGTAGAATTATGATAAAAATTTGAAATATAGGTTCATTAATGGACTTAATAGATATTATGATTCATGTGAATATAAATATTCTATACATTCAAGAAATTAAGAAGATTAAGGAGATTGATAGTTCAGAATTTAATATATGGTACTCAGATAGGAGTAGTATTAGAAATGGTGTATGTGTGATTATAAATAAAAGTTTGAAGGATAATGTTGTAGAAATTAATATAATTTGAGATAAATTTTAGCTTTAAAGATTGTCGTTGATGCTAAGATTATTAATATTATATGTGCTTAAATTCTTCAAGTAGGCTTGGATGTGTTCAAAATTAAAATTTTAGAATGAATTGGAAGAATTAATACAAAGAATATCTCTTAATGAAAGAGTTTTTATTGGAGGATATTTAAATGGACATGTTGGTAGAGTGGTAGAAGATTTTAGCAGCATTCATGGTGGCTATAGGTTAGGGGCGACTTATTAAGGTGGTAAGATCATATTAGATTTTGCTTTAGCTTATGATTTTGTAAGTGCTAATGCCTTATTTAAGAAAATAGAGAAGCATCTCATCACTTATAAGAATAAATTTAATAAAATTGAAATTGATTATTTTCTTATAAGAAATATATATTGCTTAAATTGCAAAGGTTGTAAAGTCATTCTGAGTGAAAATTTATTTATCCAACGCTTATTAGTTTTAGAATTTAAGATGAATCATGGAATGTTATTTTAGTAGAAATAGATCTAGTTGGGGGATTATGATTTTGGGCGATCAATTCATTAAAAAAAAGTGCACGCTTTAGATATCTCAAGTCTATTGTTCAAAATGATGGTGAAATAATTCAGATTTGTTGGATGGTTGAAATGTAGGAATAATTCAGATTTGTTCTGTGGAATCCTCAAACTTAAGGGAACATTTTTTAAGATGGTTGTGAGACCTGTAATGCTTTATGGAGCAAAATGTTGGTCATTACAATAGAAGCATAAAATTAAGTGTTGTAGAGGTGAGGATGCTCATGCGGATGAGTAGATTTACTCTTAGAGACAGAATGCAAATGAGTATATACTTGAAAAGGTTGGAGTAGCTTTAGTGGCAGACAAGATTAGAGAGAATCGCCTTAGATGGTTTGGTCACATAAAATGTCGGCCTTCCGAATATCTGGTAGGAGAGTGGATGTATTATATCTGACCTATGTTATGAAAGGTAGAGTTAAACTTAAAAAGACTTGGTTAGAAAGTATTAGATATGACCTTTTTTAATTAGGTTTAAATGAGAATTGGTCTTTTAATTGGAAGCAATTTAGAAAAATGATTCATATAGCCAGCCCCACGTAGTAGGATAAAGGCTTAATGTTGTTCTTGTTGTAGTTGTCTTTTTTATTAGTGTCGATAAACTAGCACATTGCCAAATTATTTTTTGATCTCCATAGTATGAACCTTGGGTCTTCTTTTTAAGGAGTTATGGTGACACTTGTGAGGTTATCATCTTTGCCTTTGCCACTAATGACCATCATGACTTCTTGGGCCCATTGGAGATAGTTTTGTCTGTTAAGCTTGTGACCAATAAATGGTGGTTTTAATAAGCTTACTTTAATTGCCAAGCTTGCCATGAGAAATAGATTTCCGATTGGGGGTGGTGTTGAAAAATATCATATATAGATCCTCCTTATTCTCATTATATTTCTCCATCAAACCTCTCAAAAAATGTATGACTTCCATTGTAAACCTACCAAGCATTAATCCAATAAATGGTGGTTTTGATAAGCTTACTTTAATTGCCAAGCTTGCCATGAGAAATAGATTTCCGATTGGGGGTGGTGTTGAAGGTGAGGCTCCTATTGTCGGCCGCCATTTTGTGTTGGACTATGTTTGTGGTTATGATGACATATGAACAAGGAGAAGAACTAGAGAATCATTTGGAATAGGAAGTTCAAAAGAGAGAGTTTTGGTATCATGTTGGAAAACATAGAAAAGAAATATAATCAAATTTCTTATTCTAATGAGAAGAATCATGGGCTACATAAATAAATAATAGGGAAAATGATCAATTTTGGTTCCTTAACTCTTTATGAAGGATCAAAATATTCCCCACTATATTAAATGATCAATTTTGTCCCTCAAGTCCTTAAAAATGAACCAACATAGTCTCATGGTGGGATTATTTTGGTTCCTCTTTAAAGAGTTGAGAAACAGAAATGGTCCTTATAGTTGGAGTTTATTTTTGTCTTTCATAAAAGTCAAGCGACCATTTTGTGTCCTTTTCTCATAAATGATACAAAAACCAGAGAATGAAAGTAAAAACATGAAATAAGAGAAGAACAAGAAAATGGCAAACACATTAATTATATAAGGTATTCTCCTTATGTAAGTAACTAGGAAATTAGGTGCATGTGACAGAATTATCCTTCCTTGGACTGGGCAATGGAGCTGTACTTAAGGCAATCAAGGACAACAAGACCATCGCCTAATTTTTAGCAGGATTCTGCTCGCTTTTCATGCAGGGACCCAGAATTAATTCCTGGCTAATTCCTTAACTAATTTTTTGCCCCTTATAACTTCCTAACTTTGTTCCTGATTTCTAGCAGCAACAACATTTAATCCTGTGTAAAATAGCTGTCCAACCCATGATTTTGCCCAAAAATTTCACAATAAGTTATACGTTACAGTTTTTATGCATATATTTATAGCGTATGTATGCATACGTGCTTGTTCATATGCCTGCATGTGCCCCACTTTCACTTCATGCTCAATCAAATAAGAGGATTGGAAGTTTTAATTCCGTATTAGAAAACAAACATCCTTCTAGGAGTGGAGACTGGAGACTATCACTTATAGAACTGGATGTGCTTCTTTCTTGCACTTATGGGAAACCAAATAAGTTTATTGTTTAAGAGGTCCTTCATGTGATCCTTTATCTTAATCTTCTATTAACCCTTTGTTATGAGGCTATGCTAAATGAATCTAAGTGTTAGGCAATAAATAATTCATTCCTATTTAAATTTAATGTTGAACAAGTTGAATGTTAAAATGATTAGTGAGAAATAGTTATATTAGAGTAATAGTGAGTGCAATGTCTATTGAAGAACAATGCATCAGAAAATAGACTGTTGTTTGGGCATATAGAATGGGTTGTAGAAGATACAGCAATAAGATTGATAGTTATAAATTTTAAGGTCTAAAAGATAAAGGTAGGCCTACAGGTAACACGGCTAATCCCGAGCAAAAAGATTTATAAGGCTAGTGATGATGGGATATATTGCCTTCGTATTGCTTCTAGCTTATGTATTAAAGCTCCATATGCAAATTTTAATTTGAAAGGTCACATAGTATAATGTTTTGCCGATGAAGGTATCTTCAGCACAATTTACTTTCTCTTTTGTGGACTGTTGTATTTGCAGTCCGAAATTTTCAAAGCACTTGAAAGGACAAAACTTTTGATTGGAACAAGGAAGAACTCACATTATTCAAGGTGTGGTAGGACAGACAAGGGAGTTTCTGCAACTGGCCAAGTATGCTTTATATGTAGTTGTTTTCTTGAGATGTTTCTTTTTGCTTTATTTCCTATATTTATAACGTGTTATACGTTATCCAAATATTTATATATATCTGGAAATATATTCCTTCCACCCAAACGATCAAAATTTTGTAGACTCTCATTCTACGTTGCAAGCCTTAATTTCCCATAATACTAGTAAACACATGCAACTTATGACATGTTGATGTGTTGGTGCTTTTGGGTGGGCCAAGTTTTTACATAGGTATCTTTATACACAATTTTTTGTGATCTAAAAACCTATGAGGTAGGGATAACTTTTTGACTCAGCATAGATACTGCTTTTGAAGTGCCGCCTAAATCTCCAGATAGTTTTATGCCCCCTAATATTAGACCACGTTAATACTTATATAGTTTTTGGATGTTTTGAAAAACAGTAGCTATTTAGTTCATCTATTCTTTGAAAATATTGTTCAATCAGTCTAAATAGGAATAGTTACTTTGAGATCACACGTGGAAGCATTGCTGATTTGTTGCTTTGCCTATATATTAAATTAAAACTATCCAAATGTTGTTATGCATGCCAATGACTAAGGACAACCCCTAGGATGCATCTAGCACATGTAAAGCATGCTAGCCATGCTCTGATACCAAGATGATGTGATACAAACTCATGCGAAGATGATTTGCTTAATGAAGTTTGCACGCTTAGATTTAAAGGCAATAATAAGTAAGATATTATGCAGAATTGAACGATAAGATAAATATTAAGTGGTACTTAGCTTAGGTTAATTTTCATGCATAGGAGTTAAGTTCAAAAGATAGCCATCTTAATCCAACATTGTATACGTAGATTGTTCCAACAATAAATTCCAATACTAACAATAAGATTAGGCTATGAAAGATCCCTCACACAACTCCTCTAATTACTAGGCTTTAGCGGAGAAGCGTCAACTTGGTCGTCATGAATTTACTAGACCACAATTGAGAAGCACTACGAAGATAAAAGAGTCGGGAAAGAGTTTACCCAAAGACGAGAGATTACGACTTCCGGTTTGATCACCAAGGCACTGGATGACGAGTAATCAGCAACATCAAGGCTTGGACATGGTTTGGGGAAGAAGTGGGCAGCAATACAAGGTTTGGGGAACCTTCTGGACGGCAATCGGAGACCCTCTGAACAGCAAGACAGCTGTAGGAACTCTGCTAGGATGGCTGGACAGCAACTACAGATGTTTGGGTGGTCACTAAGAAAGCTTGGCCAGCAATTTTGACCCTTGAAAAACTTCGGACAACAGCCTTTGAGGTTAGAAACGCCTTGGACAGCACGTGAGGGATTTCTGGTCAGCAAACAGGAGCAGGTTCGGGCAGCACTATGGCTGGTTGGAACTTCCCGGACAGCAATTTCCACTTGGAAAATTGCTGGACAGCAATTTACTGCAGGTTTTAGGATAATTTGATTGAATTAGGAAACCGGAATGACTTTGATAGGAAGTGCTTGTATTCACAAGCAAGCTATCCAAAATCGGCGAACCAACAGCAGCCAAATGGCTGTCCACAGCAGGAAAACAGCAGATTGCTGCTGTTTACAGCAGGAAAACAGCACTTGTTCGGGAAAATACGAGAGAAAACTCAAGAAAAGACTTGTATTCCACTTAGACGATGAATAAAAGAGTAAGATACAATTGATCCTCAATTCGAGAGGAGGATCGATCTCTCCCAAATCTCTAGACGCCGCTAGAGCCCACAGAAACCTAAATCTACGAGATCTCAAATTTCAGCCAAATTCAAGATGTCCAAACCCTAGGAAAAACAACTATTTAATGCATACAAATCAAAAGGAAATCCCTAAACAGCCCCTACATTCAAATTTCCCTCTCAAAACGCTAAAAAACGCTTCCTAAAATGTTCTAAAGGGCTGGTCGGGCAGCTCGATCTCCGCAGGAGGCGGAGATCTCCGCCTAATTTTGCGATCTTGGCCCGTGAACCGGTCCCGCCTGGACCGGCTGGACCGGTCCAGTGGACCGGTCTAACAGACTTTTTATCAATCCTGAAGCTTTTTGTTTGCTAATAACTTTTTTTATTTTTATTTTTATTTTTTGTTTGATAATAACTTAGGTATGTTTGTTCTTTTGACAAAAAAGTGAAGTCATATTTTGTTATAGTGCATTTTTTACATATTTTAATAATTTACCTTTTATATTAAAAAGTCTCCATGCATTGTCTTGTTTCACTTTACCGTTTCCAATTGGCATGACCGTGCCTCATATTGGTGTCTTCTCTTCTAGCTTGTTTTGTTGATTTTCTGGATTATTTATTGCTGACGTTTGCATGGGTAAATGAACACTTTCACATGATGTTTAACTGGCAATATGAATTTTGTGTAGGTTATTTCTTTATATCTACGATCAAACGGAAAAGAAATTGGAAGAGGTAATCAAAATGGAACATGGGGAGAAAAGTTTTTTGTCTTACTCGTGTAATCGTTTTCCGTACTTTCCGATGTCATTTGCTAGTCTGAAGAAAAAAAAAAATCTCTGTATATTGCACATCTATTCATTCACACCCTTATTTGACAGGCTAAACTTATTTCTGAAATGAGTAACTAAAGTTCGGATCCAATTAGTACAATGTAGAGGCGTTTTTTGCTCATCTTGCAGAGGAAAAGATAATCAAAATATTTACTTAGCTAATGACTACAGGTTTTCTCCAGATGTAACGTATGTTTCTATAATGTTACAAAATTTGATTCTTTATGCAGGGGAGGAAATTAATTATGCTATGGTGCTAAACAGAGTTCTTCCAAAAGACATTCGAGTAGTTGGATCGGCTCCTATTTCATCAGAATTTAGTGCAAGGTTCTTTTTCTCCTTTATTTATCTTGCTACTCTTCTCTTATTATTAGTTTCCGTACCATTTTCATAAATGCCTACATTTTTGTAGCAGACTGCATGCAGAATCTTTCAAGTTTATATTTGGCATGAAAGTGTTTTCCCTTTTCATTCTTTAAGATGAGACACCTTTATGCTTGACATCTTAAAATTAGGGATGTAGATGGTGGGGATGGGTAGTGATGCGAACTTTGCAAATCTCTAATTTTGTATTTGTTGGCAATGCAAAATGTGCATTGAGATGAGTAAATTAACAATGTGAATGTTGATTTTACTTCAGTATTAGGCTTTTGGATTTCAGTCTTATATTTCTTTTTTTGTGAAGTCTGTGACGATTCCTATGAAAATGTAGTGCGTTCTTTGTTCTGAACCCTTTTCTCTGGTTTGGTTTGGTATTTTGTGTTGTCTTTGGGTTAGTTTAGCTAGGTTATATATGAAAGTTTATTTTTTTTAGTAGAAAACTTTTGGAAATTAGTCTTAGTTTTCTTTTTAGTCAAGTGTATTATAATTCCTATGAGAGTAGGGTGTGTTCTTTAAAGTTTTGAACTTTTTTCTATGGTATGATTTGGTTATATTATTGATCATATCTTTTGATTTATAAATTGTGTGGATTTGTGTTCATAAATTAAGATCTTGAATCATGTATTAAAAGTTGCACAAATATTGTATTTTGATTATATATTGTTTTCCTCTTGGTTTGAGTTCTGGTTGTATGTGATTCTTTCTAACTTTATGCACTTGAAGAGAGATTTTTTTTTTAAAATTATCTTTGCATATCGATGTCAGGTTTCTATTTTTTATTGGTTTATTTCTTTCATTTTATTTATTTTGATTATATAATTTGGTGATTGATTGTTTCCAAATATATTGTGATCTGATTTTGTCGTTGTGGTTCAAACTAGAGTTTTATTATGTGGGCTCCGAAAATTCGTCGCGCTCCGGCCTATTCGCACCATCCCTTTTCTCTTGTTGTGATGGTGTAGAGTTTTAACGAGCTTAGGTTCAGCTTGAATTTTCAGAAGGCAGATTGGGATTTAGATATGACATTACCAAGAGATTTCGCCCTCGTTTTGTGAGGACTTTATGATCTAAGTTCTGGTTTCCTATAGGCGCAAGCCCCTATAGTTAATTACCCCTCCTGATAACAAGAGAGAACTTTGATTAAGACTAGTTGTTAAAGAGATCGTGTAGGTCACAAATCTAGTGTATAATAGCAACAATTTTAGGGTTTAAATTTGGGATATGACTTTTGGAGTTTGAGACTTAAAGTTTATCGCCATAAATTTAAAATTGATGATGGGGGGAATGAAGACGAGTCCGATCAAGATCCCATGGTTCCATCATCTCGGGCTGTCATGGTCCTTGGTCTACTTGGTCAGAGGAGGTAGTTGACCCAACCTGACAGAAGGTACCTTATCGACAGCAATGGGTTGCTTCGTCCAAGAATACCTTATAGATCTTGGGTGGTGTTTATCTGAGGGGATAGTCTGAATCTACCTTAGCTAATAGAGGGATTTATGCCTGTTGAATATACCTTATGATTCATTACTCAAGGTTTTGAATACATTAGGAAACATACGGGCTTTGGCCGTGATCGTAGTATAATGATGCCATTTTGCGGCAAAACCACTCGATCAAAAAGCACATGCCATGTCCCTGCTGGCAAAAGATTATTTGAGGATGAATCTTAGTGATACACCTGACACGACATTCGCTCTTTGTGAGCTAAGGTTAATTTCAAATTTATCACCCTCGATAAACAGTTACGAGAGGTTGATGGATTTTAGTTTCAAGTTTTTTAAGTGATATGTTTTATTTCAAGAATTCAATCTTTTATTGGTTTTGAGATTTAACCCATCCGATTGATATTTACATTCAACACGGCCATCATCGGGGTGAAGTTAAAGTCACTTGTGTTTTTATGAGAGATTGGGAGGCATCTTATAATTCAAGTTTGGTCGACTCCGGTCTTTCCAAGGAGGATGAAACTTGAATATTTTACCCGTGCACAACATTCTCAGACATTGGTGTTTACAAATTTAATCGTATTTGTTGGAGCACATGCGGGTTATGTTTAGTTTGCAAATAGATTGTTATATTAGTGAGCATTTGATCTCATGCAACATTCTCGGATATTTGTGTTTGTAACTTTAACACGTTAGTTGGAGCACATGCATGTGTGTTTTAATATATATATTGAAGTTATTATAGAGATATTACTTTATGACAGTTTGTATAAATGTTGTGAATCTGGTGGAGAAGGCTGCAAGCTGGCGAGTTCGACCGATAGGATGTAAACTGTTGGAGTCGGGTCGGCCGGTGCAGTACAGTAGGTTGCAGCCAGAGTCGCTCCTTCACGCTAAGATGGGCTCGACGAGCTTCGGTGGGTTCAACTGTTGGAGTCGATGGAGGCGGCTGTCGAGTGCATAGATGGAAATCAGTTTGGCTCACTAGGATTTGCTGGAGGCTAGGGTGGATCGGGGCGGTCGGACCTGGAAGAGGTAACTCACCAAGCTTTCTTTTGTTTGGTTCTTAGAGAGCTCGTGAGTTCCCTGTGTGTGCATTCGAATGATCCAAATGAGCTATATTTTTTTTCTATGCTTGTGAGGTAGTTAAGTGGAGAAGAGTGGGAGCCGATGTGGTCATGCAATCGTGGGTGTGCGATCGTGGGCGAGGCCAGTCGTGATGTGGGATCGACAGTTGATTTGAAATGCGGTTGTAGGTCAACATATTAGACAATTGTAAAATTATCATTTTCTTTGATCTTACATATTTTCAATTTTTCGTCAAAAGTATAGAATGGTCATCTAAATTTGAAGTCTTTGATTGCGAATTTAACCTTCTATGCATGATTTCTTGCATTAGAGAAGTTAAATATAATCCTAATGATTAATCTTTTTATTTTTATTTTGTTTGCATGGCTAGAAGATAATAAATTTATGACGGGAGAAACATTCAGATAAACATATGCAGTGTGTGTGTGTCAATGAAGCACTTAGCTTTTATAGACATCAAATATATGACATATAGAATGATATAATTAAAAGGTAAAATTTAAAGCATTTATGCTTGATGATAAAATAGATCCTAAGGTTTTTTCTAGTTGGGTGTTAGAAGACCACAATAACGACATTAAGCCTTTATCCCACTACGAGAGGTCGGCTAAATGAATCATTTTTCTCTATTATGTCATGTTAAGAGTCAAATTTTCATATAAATCTAATAAAAAAATGTCATTTCGAATATTTTCTAACCAAGTCTTTTTAGGTCTACCTTTACCTTTCGTAACAATGCCATTTCCAGTCCCCATGCTTTGAATAAGAAAAGTGAAGGGTTGCGTTAGGTAGTCTACAGCTAGCTTAAAACTTGTCGAATAATCATGACATAAATCCTTTAATACATTTTGTTAGGTGATAAACACTAAGGATAATTCTTTTGAATTGAAATAATGTTGGTTTAACATTAAGTTAGATTTAATATTTTATGAATTGAAATAATGACAATCGATTGCTTGTTCTAATCAGTAGTATAATGATGCTAAGGAAATGTTCGCCTATGATAGATAGTTTTATGCAGTTTGCAAGCCTTTCGATATGGGAAACAATATCTAGATTTTGCTTGTCAGCCATTTAAGTATAATTCACAAAAAAAAAAGTAGAAACATACTAGATGCGTTGAATATTATCTATAGTAGAAATTTATTTTAATACTTTATATTGGAGTGGATAAGAAAAGTGGAGGGTTGCGTTAGGTAGTCGACATCCAGTGTAAAACTTGTCGAATAATAATAACATGAATCCTTTAAGAAATTGTGTTAATGCTAGGGCGTCCCCTGGAAGCGATGCGCTATATGGTTTGAATACAATGACAAGTGTGCAAGGGTCACTACACCGGTGCCCGGGTGCAGTGTTAAATAGGCAAGAGTTCCCACATCAAGGATGGATGTGGGAAAAGAAGCTAGTCCATGGAACTAAAATTAGGATAGGAACTTGGAATATAGGTTCCCTTACAAGAAAATTAATGGAATTAATAGATATTATGATTCATAGGAAGTTAAATATTTTGTGCATTCAGGAAACTAATGGGTTGGAGAGAAGACTAAGGGAATTGATAGTTTATGATTTAAACTTTGGTATTCGGGTAGGAGTCGTACTAGAAATGGTGTAGGTGTTATTATAGTTAAGAGTTTAAAGGATAATGTTATAAAAATTAATAGGATTGAAGATATAATTATAGCTTTAAAGATTGTTGTTGATGATAAGATTATTAATATTATAAGTGCTTATGCTCCTCAAGTAGGTTTGGATATGAGTTATAAATTAAATTTTTGGAATGACTTAAAATAATTAATACAAAAGATACCTCTTGAAGAAAGAGTTTTTATTGGAGGAGATTTAAATGGACATGTTGGTAGAGAGGTAGATGATTTTAAAAGCATTCATTGTGGCAATGGATTTGGAAGGACGAATGAAGGTGGCAAGATCATATTGGATTTTTGTTTAGATTATGATTTTTCAATTACTAATATCTTATTTAAGAAAAGGAATGAGCATCTCATCACTTATAAAAATGGATATAGTACAACCCAAATTGACTATTTTCTTATTAGAAAATTAAATCGTTTAGATTGCAAAGATTGTAAAGTTATTCCGAGTGAAAATTTATGTACCCAACATCGATTATTAGTTTTGGACTTTAAGATAAAGGGGCATAAAATAAAAAATAAAGTAAAACAATTTTCTAGGATTAAATGGGGGCATTTAAAGAATATTAAAAAAAATATTTTTG